TGCAAAGGTAAGTCTGTGGAGTAACATATTTGCAAAGCGTATTTTATTTGCTTTCCCTCCAACCTCAAGTCTTGACCTTCAATATACGCTTGCAGCAGCTAAACCAACATTAGTGTTTTTTATGGTTTTGTTTAGGTTCTCACACCACGTGCCTATGGTAAAGGGCAGATTGCTATCTAGTTAAATTTAGAAGAAGTCAACGGAGACTTGAACTATGAGAAACTGTGGTTTTGGTAGCTGAAACTTCAGTGTTGCCTAAAGGTAACCACACGTGCGACTCAAATGTAAATCTTGTCCATCAAGACATTTTGTAGTATATAAACATCATCTCTGAAAGATAGGGCAGCACAAAAGCACCACAGTATACTTTATTTTTCATATGAAGATGAATTAAAATCAAAGATAAATTTAAATCTTTTAAATTAATTTTAGATTTACCTGTTCCTAACCCCCATGACACACCAATAAGAGCAGCTCTACTTATTGCAACAGCTGAAAGCTGGGTCACACTTCCATCCGCTCTCAGTTTTTGCCCCCTGTCTAGTTTTCTTCTTTGCCACATATCCACACATCCACACACACACACACACACACAGAGAAACACATACAGATATGTGTGAAATATCAAACACAGGCTCACAAAGGATAGACATTTACAGCAGATTTGCTTTCACCATGTTCTGCAAGCAGCCGGGAGAAAATGAATACTTAATCAGACAAACTGTTTAATCTCTCTTGCTGCTGCAACGTCCAACACAAAATACATGTTCCCTCTCCAAGCCATTAATGTAAAAGCTATTCTCTGCTACTACTAATTTAAATTCATACACTGTGCAAGTACATACAAGCGAGTCATACTGTATTCAGGATGGAGAACAGAGGTATTAGCTCATCTGATGTCTCTCTGTGTTCTGCCAGGGGCTTTTCCGAGAGGCATCTCAAATATTCACAAACATCCATCAATGCCTGAAAGGGGTCAGAGACTAGCCACAGTCACACGGAATCACACACACACACACACACACACACACACACACACACACACACACACAAATGCATACTCAAAGGCAATAAAACACATACACACACACAAATGTAGCATCCACATTCAATAATTTTCTTTTTTGCTCCTGGAGTTTTCTTTAATCACAGGTTTTCTATCATCTCTTTCTCTGAGGCCTGCAGAAGAAGTGTGAGTGTGATTCAGAGGCAGCCTGCGCGTATGTCTGTGTGTCTACACATCAAGTGCCCTTAGCGTCTTAACAAGAAATGTATTCCTCATTCTGTGCATATGTATGAGACAACAACATATGTGTTTGAATGTGTGTGGTTAAGGGTTGGGGGTTGAGGCTTCCTGTAGTAGGTGCATTTGTGTGGGGGGAGGGCCCTGCAGAATCTGAAAATATCACCATGCTTCAGGACCCCTGTTTCACTTTAGTGCTCACAAGATTGCTCTGCCCTCATAATTTCCCAGTTGCAAATATCAAAGAGAAGGAAGGAGGTGTAAGGAATGCATTCAAAACAGCTAATCAGTGCTAATCATGGTTGTGTTAAGATGGTTTGGAGTTTTTTTTTATGTTAATGGAAACAAATGAGATGATATGAGATTCATATCCTGTCGGTGAAAGGCAACGCTCTCTTTTCTTGGTTAGTAGCCCGGCGTCTCTGGTGAATATGGCCAAGGGCGCCTGCTGACTGCTATTACCAAACACCTCATTCATTAACCTGGTATTTGAATAAAAAAAACACATCTACCCGTGCACACACCCACACACACACACACACACACACACACACACACACTGTAACAACAAACAAATAGGCTCAAATAGGCCTACTGAGCAGGAAGGGGCATGTGTGTAAACTAGCATAGGTATTACATCAGTCGTATAAAATCTATAAGCACTGATACCCTTCATACAAGCGCACACACACAACCCCAACCATCAAATAAATTGAAGCAGCTTGCTTTTTTTCTGGCCATCACAGCCCTCTGCAGACCTTTTGTCAACCTGTACCCTTTAAATAGATCTTAAGCCTATAATCAAATTCTGCACCATCAGCCCTGCATTGAGAAAGGCGAGAGGACAGGGGAGGGGGATCTGTGACAGTGAAGAAGATTGAACGGTAACACTTACTAATACATCCCAAGATTAACAGTGTAATTTCATTCTATGAACCATGTGCCAAAAAAACTTACTGGTACTTAGTGTAGTAACGTATGTGTAACAATTGGGCATTTTAGATAAAGGAGAAACAAATTATGCTCTGTCTAAGAATATTGTAAATACTGGGTACCTATAAACTACTTATGGTATAACATATTTCACATTTCCAATACGCTACTAAAATGAAAGGGGCTTCTGGACTATCTCTCAGAAGTCAGATGGAGGGATTATTGAACAACATATAATATATATGAACCAATTTAGTCCTAAGGTTGGAAGCTTGAAGAAAATCTTAGAATAATAATGTGTATAGTGCAGTGTGCAGCACTGTTAGGGTACCGCAACTACAATAACCTGCGCGATGACTTGCAAAATCGCAATATTATATGCTTTAATAACTTGATTTAATCTAGGTTTTATGTCTTACATGTTGGGCATTTATGTGTATATGTTGGTTCATATGTGTAACACATATGTTTGTTATGTCTGATTTTTACTTTTTTTTACTTCTGACACTCTGTAATACTTTGTTTGTATGACTTCTATATATTATCATTATTTTAGGCAATTGACCCTACCAGCTTATGTTCTTTGGATTGACCACAGTGTAGGTGCAGTATAGTAATGGATGAAGTACAATAAAACTAAAGGTTTTTGCAATTTGCTCAAAAAAAAACTGCCACAGAGATATTGTATAAAACATCTCTGACATGCAAAATGCAATCACACACACACAATCACACACACAAACAGTTGAGTTTTCATCACATAACAATGGCTCATATCAATTTCCTATAGACTCACCCAACCCCACCAACCCTACCAGTCTTACAGCACACTGCCTCACTAAAATCTAATGATTTACGTCATGGGGACTGTGTAAACAGATTCATGCCCCCACATGAGTAATACTCTCTCTCTCTCTCTTTCTCTCTCTGTCTCTCTCTCACACACACACTTTCTTTGCATATTCTGACCTTCTGTTTGAGGGGCACACGGAAGAAGGAAATTAGTGATTTCAGCAGCCCCTGCTGGTGCACAGTACAATTAAAGCACTTGCTCACCATTCACTGCTTTAAAGCCTTCACTACCTCAACCACTGCTTCCTTCTCCCCATACATAATCAACACTGCTCTGAAAAATGCACATCCTGACTTTTTTTATGCTATACATAGCACTTCCTGGCAGAGCTTAATGATCAACGCTGTTAATCTGACAATCTGAGAAGAAGTCCAAACCTGTAAAAAGCCAGAGAGCAGGGCGACATATTTGTTTGACATATTTGTGACACACCCCAGGTTGAACAAATCACAAATAATGTATCTAAGTGTATTGGTAATTATGTGTCATCTGTGTACTTTTGCCAGCTTTGGCATGTGTGAGTTTCCTGTCCTTGTTCTTTTTTAACAGTTGAGCCTGTGGCTCCTCAGTGTGTGTGTGTGTGGGCAGAAAAAAGGAAATGAGAGTCAGCTTGTATCATGGTGAAGCCTTTCTGTGTGTGGGTGGTGGACAAATACATGGACATAGGTATTATTGTATCACACTTAAGCAGTACAGCATACATAATATTCACTGTGAATGTTGGAATTTCAACTAGGACCATAAAGATGGTTAATTAAGCAAATTCTTTCATACCCATGTGTCCTGAGAAGAGGTCTAATCAGCAAAAATGTTCAAAATTGCCTGTGTAGTTTTACCATATCAATATGCCAAAAGAATAAATATTGAAAGTGGAACCCAAGTATTTGGGAACCAGTGATGGGAATTATGGGTTTTTGAAGGAAGTCGGATCTTAAGGCCAAAACAACTCCTCAATTAGTGCCACTTCTGATTAGATTAGATTTAGATTAAACTTTATTGCCATTATGTAGAGTACGGGTACAGAGCTTATGAATTGCAGTTAGCATTTAACCAGAAGTGCTGAAAGTTTACAGATAAGTGCAGTTATCATATATCTTACAACATGTACAGTGGTTTTATAATGTACAGATATTTTACAGTATATGTGAATATTTTAAAAACGTGTAGAAGAGAAGTGGACAGAGTCAGATAATGGAGAATGCAACTGTAAGGATGTATGTACAGTATGAACTGCAATCTATGCATGTGGTAACTGAGTATAACAATGTATACATATTAGGATATATAAAAACTACAGGTAGTTAACACAGTGTAAGAGTTCAGTCTGTGCTAAAATATTGTTATTGCCTAAGTTCCATTCTTATTTTTTGCAAGAAATAAATATTCAAGCTCACAGAGTGATGGTCACATCATGAATGGGAACATTGCCAGTGCCTTTAGAACAATGAACATGGGTCTTCTTCACAGCAGAAAGTTTGAGTTGCCATTGTAGGCAAAACAATGGTGTTATTATTTCATGACAGTGTGACAATGAGGCAGCTTGCATAGTGCCAGGACCCTGGAGCTGAAGCTAAATGGAATTCAGTGATCATTCATTTTATTATTATACCTGTGCTTTTCCTATTGTGACATGTTAAAGTATCTTCTGCGAAAAGGATTTGTGGTTTTCGCAATAGATATATATATATACATTTTGAACATTGCACATGGATGTACATTTTATATTCAGTTTTCTACAAGAACTACTAATGCAATTCTTTTTCACGACAGAGTACAATTCAATTCTTGATATTCCAAGTTGAATTTAATAGTTGAATGATCCCCATGGACTCAACTTTATTTGTCACGAAAGGTGTAACAGACTGTTTTTTTGAGCAGTTAAACAGCAGCTAACCACTTCCTTTTCTCTGCTCCTCCTCCACAAATATATTTAAAAGCTGATGGTGAAGTTCCAATCTGTCTTTCTCTGTCTGAATGTCATCATGTTCGACCTAAACCAAGCAGCTCTGCTCTCTATTCAACTATTGGTTACTTACCAAGTCTTTGCAGGTACAGTGAAGATTTGTGTTTGTAATGGATGTTTTTCCTCTACATTTAATTACAGACTTTGTTTTATATTGGTTGATTGTTTCTTTCAATATTAGGGACTGATCAAGTTGACCACAGGGATGTACTGGTGTTCAGGGGGGAACCCGTCATGTTCACTTGCAACATATCCAATGAAAGTGCAACACAAATCACCTGGACCAAAGGCAGATCTGTTTTTTCTTATTCAATAATACGCAATATGACCTTTTCAAATCTCACCTCTCACAGTCTGAGAATAGACCAAAACTCACCTTTAAAGCTGAATATTTTTAATGCTCAGCATGAAGACGCAGGACTTTATACATGTAATGTAACTAGTAGATATGGTCCAAAGACAACTGAGTGGAATTTAACAGTGTCTGAGAAACGTGAAGGTGGGTAGAGCACAATGCAGAGCTATTAGCAGAGCTAATTATCTTTACAGCAGACTTAATGCATTTCAAACCTCATACTGCATGCAACTTAAATTCCTTCACATCTGATTTTGTGCAGAAATCAGTCCATCGTGGTATTTTCTATACATACTCATATCTATAATTGGACTTCTTCCATGTGGCCTCACATCAGCTGTCTGCCTCTGCAGGTGAGTGACACCTTTTAGCTTTTAGATTTGTATGTTCAAATTAATTTCACTCTGCTCTGGTGCAGAGCAGTTGTTAGCACTTGGGAATTAGGGTTGATTTGAGTGTAGAGCTCAATCACAGATATTATGTCAGATCAAGTCTCAGTTTACCCAAATTACAAACTAATAGTAACCCATAGTGTTATCTTCCCATGCAGTTAGTCCAGATACTAAAATATCTGCAATTTTTCCCAAATCAGAACAGTGATAAAATCCTTTGTGGTGGTCAAAACATTGATTTTTATTAAGATTGATTGTTGCTTCTTGACATTGGAAACAGTAGTTAACAATACACTTTCACCACAAGGCCCAGCTCATTAAAAATGTTTACAGTGTCAATGTTAAAATGTTGTGCAACCGTAGAACAAGTGAAGCAAAGTCGTAAAGTCAGTGAAGACTGCATGAAATAAATCAAGAAACATCTAATCAAAGAATAAGTCAAAAGGCCTAAAAATCTGACAAAGCATTCAATACTGACTATTGATACCTGTCACTCTTCGATAATCTGTGGTAAGGAAGGACACATTTTTACTGGTGCTCAAGGATTGAGGTTTGTGGCTTGATACTCAGCCCCGTAATTATCCGGAGTTCTCCACCCCTATTATATCCCTGACATCGTGAACACCTTGGAAATAGTATTCTGACCTTAATGCTAGGAAATACATTTACATACAACATAATTAAACATAACATGTAAATATAATTGAACACAAAAAGAAAAAGCTCTCAAAAACCTTTGGGCACACAATACCTAAAATCCTGCCCATGGCCCTGGTGGTTGCAGAGCTTACACTGTTAGTGATGTGCATACACTTTGATGAACACATATAGCTATAGTGTAGTTCCAGCAAAAGCATTATTGTTGTATGTAATCATAACCAAATATAAATGTAATCACTACAGTACAAACAGTAAAAACAAACAAGAGCGTGGTTGCCCGTTACAAACGGGCCCACATTGGGGCCAAGCTGCCTGACTGAACATGCATTTGCATTGTTGTTGTTTCTTTTGACTAAAGTTTGTTTGTGTGTCTTGAGTGAAGCAAAAAAGAAAAAATGAGACTCAGACCACGTCTGTGTCTTCTGCAGAGACGAGCACCCACCGCTGCCAGGAGGCTCTCGTCTCATGCAGCAAACAGCACAAATGTGGACATTGTGGCCTGTTTATATTGTCGTTGATTCTTTATGATTATGTGTTTAACTTTTGATCAGTTTTTTGGGTTTATTCTCTGCTGTCCTATGTGTGAACTCAGTCTCTTACAATAAAATACCTGAAACACTTTCATTTCTATAAAGTAGGGTGTCATTTCATGTCTTTGTCTCTACAGAAAACATGGGACCAGGACAACAAACCAGTACCCAGTCCAGGACCAGTTTCATCTTCAGTCAGGAGGAGAGGTCAGAAAAACGTTGTCATCTTTGACACTATCATGTTTCTGTGCATTTATTTTTTTTCTCTGTGAAAGCATTGAACTTTATTTTCACCCTCTATCTGTACAGGTGGTCATCCGTCAACAGCAAGGTGGCACAGGCAGTAGGACAAATAACAGGCAGAGCAGTCAGTACGCGGAAAGGCTTAATTCAATCTATGGTCTCTACTGAGATGATGAGTCATTCAAATGAAAGTTAAACACGAGACATTTACAGAGAGAGATCAAATCACATTTCTCAATGTCAAGCCGGGTGCTTTAAGGGAAGCCATTCAGAGAGATGACAACGGGGTCACTGATGTCGTCGGCTTCTCTAAAATTAATACATCCAGTGCCTTCACTTTAAGGGGTTTTGTTTTTAATCTTACAATTTAAATTTAAAGTACTGTATTTTGAATATGTCCTTATGTATATGATGGTTTTAATATTAATATGCTGCATTGAATGTTTTCCTGCAGTGTGAGCTAGTTAAGGCAAGTTCCTAACTATGTTTGTTGTAATGGCAATAAAGTTAACTTAAGTCAACAGGCTTCAGTGTTGGGTCTGTGCCACCTGGGGTTGCGTATTACATGGGGTCTTTCCAATAAAAACAGTCTACAATCAAGGACAGTAGCCCTTTTGTAAATATCATGGTTCTTGTAATATTGTGATAATACTTTTAAAGACAGTGTCTTGTAATCAGACCAGTGAATTATTCCAAAGTCAAAGCTGTTGACTGGTTAAATGTGTGAATGCACATGTATAATCACCATGCTCTAACACCATTCTCAGCAGGGTTTCATTGTGTTCACCATTAAGCAAAAATGGTTTTCCTACACTTGAACATTAAGTTTATAATCGTATAATTATGAATTAATCAGTGTTTACAGTTTAATTCAAGAAGGATCATCACTGAATCTTCAGTATCATAATTTGAATTACATTTTTGTATTTTTGACTCTCACATAATGTTGCACGAAGGTGTGACACATACGTTTTGAGCAGCTAAACAGCAGCTAACCACTTCCTTTGCTCCTCCATCACAACACAGTAAAATTTTGATTATAACGTTCCAGTGAATGGAGTCTGAATGTCATCATGTTCAGCATAAACCTAGCAGCTCTAATCTCTATTCAGCTATCAGTTACAGGCCAAGTCTGTGCAGGTACAGGAATTCATTAAATTGAGCACAGGGATGTACTGGTGTCCAGGGGAGACTCTGTCATGTTCACCGGCAACCTATCCAAACCTTTTCATATCGTCTACATAAGCCTTATTTGGATTTTTGGAGTGCTGCTTACCAAATTTAATAGAGAAAGTTTGACATTCAAATTTAAATAGTTCCCATTTTAACATAGGTGAAACATCAGACATTGACTGGAAATCAACAACAATTTGCCTGATGCCTGAGCAATAATCAGATTGTTTTATGAAGGAAGAGTTTAATTTCCAGTATCCAGGATTACATCGAAGATAAGAGTTTAAATTTGAGAGAGAAATATCTATCCCTGCATGGACAGTGAGAGGGTGGTCTAAGGTTTTTGCTTTCCTGTAATTTTGTTTCGGGTAAACTTCCTGTTAAACTCGCCAACTTCCATAAACAAGCCCTGGACACTTGGAAGATTGCTTTCAAGCACAACTTTTCCCCACACACATGTATTTTGTGGAACAACCAACATGTTGTATATAGAAATAAGACCATGTTTTTTAAGGACTGGTTTGACCGAGATATTGTGTTTATCTCTGAACTGTTTAGTGACACAGGGGACCTGGCTTCATATGAGGAGTTTGTCCGGCAAAGGAGAGTGGAAATATCTAAGTCTCGCAGTTTTTTAACAGGACAGTCAGAATTTAATTGTTTTTTTTGTCCCCAACAAAGTGAAGGAAATTCTACACAGATATTATCCTTGCAATGAATTTATTCACAAGTTTTATGCTCTTTTTGTGAGTCAGAGACGGAGTCATTTTCTCATTTATTTATTATTATTGACTTTTGGTCACAAATTGTATTATTAATATGGGAATCTCATAATATCTCGGTCCCTTTATCTGCAAGAATGGTCTTATTTTTGAATGTGGAATCTATAAACTGTGAAACGGCTGATCTGGTTAAGCTGTTATGTCTTCTGGGTAAACATCATATTCATAAAGCAAAATGTATGCAGTTTCTTCCAAACAGACATTTGTTTTATGCTGACCTTAAAAACCTATATTTTTCTATTTGCAGAATGTTAAAAAACAAGACAGCTTTAAAGACATCCAATATCTTAAAACATATTATCTATTTATTTTTATATTGGTTTACTTATGTGTCTTGTTTGTTTTGGTTTATTATAACCTATGCTCCCTGTTTGTTTGTGTCTGTCAAGTACTATTGGATTAATAAAGTTGTGAAGAAAAAAAAATTCCCAGGGCGTCATATTACGCTTTGTCACGTCCGTCGGCGTCTACTTCCAACGCACATGGAACCCTTTAGCGTGAGAGACGCACGGAGCTTTCCACTAACTCCAATGTAAACCCATCCGCGGTAGTATTGGACGCCCAGGGCATGGTGAACTGAGTGTTGACGTAACTACCCCGGAAGTGTCCTCACTGTCAATTACAGTGTTTTTTTAGATTCTAATATATATATATACACATATATAATTTTATTTTAATATATTTCGACACAAAAATCAACCTCAGCGCACTGAAGGAAGCCATCTGACTGTGTGAGGAGCAAGCTTGTTGATGTGTGCAGATAGAGCAGGCCTAGATCTGGTGATGGAGCAGTGGATAAAACACATGCCTTTGGCGTGAGAGACCCGGGTTTGAATCCACTGTAAGACACCAATGTGTCCCTGAGCGAGACACTTAACCCCTAGTTGCTCCAGAGGCGTGCCACCTCTGATATATATATAGCATATATTTGGATAAAAGCATCAGCTAAAATGAATAAATGTAGAGCTCTCCTTTCTGACTCCTCCCACCAATAGGGGAGAAGTTCACCCCTTGAGACACAGGCCCTCCTCATTCTTTACATCTTGTCACATATTTGTTTAATTATCTAATATATATCCTTTGTTTGTTATAATAAATCTAGTCACAGATCACCTCCAGTAGTATCAGCAGCAACATCCTCAGCAACTCCTCAACAGTAACTTTTCCCTGTAAGTTATGTCATAGCATTTGCTGATGTATCGATACAGAAGCATCAGTATACGCATATCAGCAAGGAATACATACCAATATATTTATGGATCGATATTTTGAGAACAGCCCTATTTAAATCCTTGTTCCATGTGCCCCTTTTATACTTTAAGCACCTGCCCTTCCAAAGGTCTCTGCACGGCCCTGATATATACACACTATAAGCAAAAACACTGTACACAGATTGAGACAATAGTGCAATGAGCAAAGTGCAAAGGATGCAGGATTAAAGTTATTATCATTACCATGTACATGTCTGAGGTGGATGAGATGTACAGGTACACATACACATACATGTATACGTGTACTCATGTACAAATAATAATGCAAAGGATGCTGGAATAAATAAGTATTATGTGCAGGTGTTATATACATGCGGTAGGTACATTTGGTTTACAGTATATACAAAATGACACTATGAACAGTATGAACAACTCTTAAAATAGAGAATGATAAATAAATAATAGGTGGTAACCAGTAAACAGGTGGCTGATTAGAGACAGAGTTACTGGGTTATTGCACAGGAATTGTTCAGACACTGTGAGGCACAAATTAGCTGTTCATCAGAGTGATGGTTTGTGGGAAGAAACTGTTCCTGAGTCTGTTGGTTTTGGCGTACAGTGCTCTGTAGCGCCTGCCAGAGGGGAGAAGCTGGAACAGGTTGTGTCTGGGATGGATGTGCAATGATGTTTCCTGACTCTGGAAATGTATAAGTCCTGAATGGAAGGCAGGTTGGCACCAATGATTTTCTCTGCGGTCCTGACTGTCCATTGTAGTCTGCTCCTATCCTTTTTGGTGACAGATCCAAACCAGGCAGTGATGGACGTGCAGAGGAGAGACAACAGACAACCAGAACCTTAATGTCATTTTACCTGGTTAGTGGTCACCATAACATGCAATTCTGAAAAGTGTAAAGGTTGTTTTCTTGTTTCTGTTTTATTTTGTATTGTTTACATGCAAAACATGCATCTGTGTAATAGTTTGCTATTTTATGGGCATGTTAATTGTACATTTAAAGCCTTAGTCAAGTTTATACAACAATGTATAATATGTTAATGCTACGACCTGATTAAAGGTGACTTCATGCTGTTGTTAGAGATGCATTAAAGCATTAAAATATCAGAAATCCATTATTGGTGCACATGGTGAAACTTTTTTCTTTTATCTTTTCATTTTTTATTTCTTTGAAGGTACTTTGTGTGTGACTGAAGAAGTTATTATATATTATAAGGTTTGTGCTATTTGAGCTATCACAATTTTAAAATCTAATATTGGATTATAGAGTGTCTCAATTCTTGGTAATTCAGTAATCATGCTGATCCCTGTGGTACAAATCTACTTCATAATACAAAGTTTCTCACATCCTTTGCATGATAAATCACTTGCAAAATGTTTTTTTTTTGCATGATGACATGAACTGTGAAACAGCTCAATATGTAGTTGTGATGTTGTACATACAGACCCAGTTTAACATGATCACTTCCTTTTATCCCTGAAATCTCTACAAATATGATAGTGGCACTGATGGTGAAGTAAAATTTAATTCTGTGTCTCAAGAACAGTGATTTATGAGCTTTGAAAAAGAGACAGCACTATTGTCACAACATTTATTGGAATTCTTAAAAACCTTATCAACACACAGTACACTAACACCACCTACACTCACCAGTAGATGGTGTAAAGAGTTTGTCATGAATGTTCCATAATGCCGAATTTATCCCATAATATAAATGTATAACTAGTAAAACCGTAATTTCCTTGGGTTACCTCAGAGATGGATCAGTGTATCCTTATCAAACAGCTGCATCAGTCAGTGGACCAAGCAGGCAGAGAGGAGAGTCAGTGAGATCCATCGCTTTTGAAAGTCACAGACAGGAGTGTCCTGAGCCAGGGAATTTGAGACGGAGAGGCCTTTTATCCTAAATGCCCTTTGGGGGTGCAGAGAAATATATTTTGCAGTTACTTCAATATATATTAGTGTTTTTGTTGTATACAGGGAATCAGATTATGCTGAAGACCTTCAGGATGACACCTCCTCAGTTTCTATAAGCAAGGCAGCTCTACATTGAAAAAGACCAGGTCAGTCAGAGCGCTAAAATACTTAAATATACGCACAGGGGCGGCTGTGGCTCAGGAGGTAGAGCGGTTTGGCCGTTAATCGGAAGGTCGGCGGTTCAGTGACCTTGGGCAAGATGCTGAACCCCAAAACTGCCCCTGGCGACTGTTCCACCAGTGTATGAATGTGTGTGAATGTTAGTTTCTGTTAGGCTCAGTGAATGAATGTGTGTGAATGCAGATATAGTGTAAAAGCGCTTTGAGTGGTCAAAAAGACTAGAAAGGCATGCATTCCCATCAAATGTGCAGTGTGTGTGTTTGTGCATAAAAATAAAAGCCCTCATTTTCAGCTTGTGACAATAATCCATTGACCTTCTCCTCCTGTTCCTTCTCTTCCTTCCCACCCTCCTCATCAATATAACTGGGGTCATCACCACCCTATCCCTTTCCATCACCTGCACTGACCTGAACAGCTAAAATACATACAAACATACTTATACAAGTATGTTGTCTTTGTGTGCTAACACATTGCAAACTGTTGCTTATAATATGCTATCTAAATATATAGCCTAATGTATATGCCTATACATAAATGCATATATAAATAATTTCAGTATATAATAAATGCATTAGCCTCCTTATCGTGCCTGCCTGTTCAGGGTCCTGCCTCACCTGCAACAGGAACCTTTCTGCCAAGCTGTTGGTTAATTTGGCACATTTGGCTGCCTCTTGTGCCAACAGTTTACTTATTTTTTGGCACCACACATTTCTTTTTCCTCTTTCTGTCTTTTCACCACAACTCCTGATCCCTTAAATGACCTTAAATGGACCGGCCGTTCGGGAATATTCCCAAATACCCCGATGGCCAGTCCGCCCCTAGTCACAGACTGTCACCTTTGGTTTACTTTAGCTTAGCAATTGACCCTTTCATGACGTGTTGAACGCTGTGTCATGATACTGCTACATTTCCTTCCTTCTGTCTGTTTAAACAAGTGATGGTAGGATGATTTCCAAGCACTGTTCTCCAGATGTGGAGTTCTTGACAGTGAAATGTTGATCTTTTTAGCTGCCACCGGAGTTGACAATTAGTCATACCATTGCAGTCTATGCCCCCCTAGTGCAAATGTGAAACAGGCCCTGGGAGAATTCTATAATACCATCAGCCAGCTGCATGCTACCCACCCTGACGATATCTACATTGTTGCGGGGGTTTTCAACAAGGCAAGTTTAAACTCTGTGTTACCCAAGTTCTGCCAGCATGTGGATTGTATAACAACAGGAAATAACACACTGGATCTTGTATACAAAATTAAAAATGTGTTTTATATACAGTGGTATAAAATAGCCTAAATGTAGGCTATAAGCCTACAGTAAATATAGACCGTAATGATCCCGCCCCTCCAGACAACCTCAACACCTCCTAGTCTCGGTTTGAGGCCACCAACAACAGGAAGGTACAAAGGACAACACCATCACCCATGGTACTTCAGCCGTCTGTCGAAAGTGTTTTTTCTAAAATAAAACCTCAAAAGGCTGCTGAAGAACTGTGCAGACCAAGTGAAGGATGTCTTAGCTGACATTTTCAACACCTCCCTCTGCCAGGCTGTAGTGCTCACCTGCCTCAAGAGGGCCACCATAGTCCCTGTGCCCAAAAAACCCCAACCTTGACTGTATGAATGACTATTGCCATGTTGCCTCACGCCATTAGCCAAATGTTTTGACTGGCCTATTATTGAGCACTTTAAATCCAAGTTGCATACAGGGCAACCCGGTCTACAGAGGATGCTACATCCACTCTGCTCCATTTCACGCTGACTCATCTGGAAGCCAAGAACATTTATGCCAGGAAATCGACTTGTTAATCAACTTCAGCTTGACTTCAATACTTACGAGGTGTCAATGTCATTTACTTCACCGGTCAGTGGTCATAATACTCACATAATGCATGTGTGTTCTATGCTTCTATGCCTGGTTATTATGCTTCTTATAACCACCAAAAAGTGTTCATCAAGCTCTGACAGCATTCTCAGCAGTGTGGTCACATTATGTGGGTCAAGTGTGTTCACCACTATGCAGAAGTGGTTTTCCTATAGTTGAACATGTCACATTCATGGACGTTTCATGCTTCAGTTTATGATTACTAATTACATCATGTTTACTGTTTATTTTCAAGAAGGACCAAGCTTCAATCCTTAGTATTCTAATTTGAATAGAAATTATTGTATATTTGACTCCCACATGACTTATGTTCCACAAAAGGTGTGAAACTTACCTCAGTTATGAGCAGCTAACCACTTCCTTTGCTCCTCCAACTTAAATACGGTTAAAAGCTATGAAGTTCCAGTCTGTCCTTCTCTGTCTGATGATCATCATGTTCAGATTAAACCAAGCAACTCTAATCTTCTTTCAAGTATTAGTTACATGCCAAGTCTTTGCAGGCACAGGGATTCATCAAGTTGACTACAGGGATGTACTGGTGTCCAGGGGAGCCTCCATCATGTTCACTTGCAACACATACAATGAAAATGCAACGCAAATCACCTGGACCAAAGGCAGAACTTTTTTTGTTTATTCAGTTGTACACAATCTAACTTTTTCAAATCTCACCTCTCACAGACTGAGAATAGACCTAAACTTACCTTCAAAGCTGGATATTTTTAATGCTCAGCATGATGACGCAGGACTTTATACATGTCATGTAGTTGATACAGACGGTCCAAAGACAATTGAGTGGAATTTAACGGTGTCTAATAAACCTGAAGGTAGGTAGAACACAAAGCAGAGCTAATCACCACTACAACAGACTCACTGCATTTTAAACCTGAAACTGCATGCTACTTAAATGTATTCACATCTGATTTTGTGCAGACATCAGTCCATCGAGATGGTATTTTCTGTACATACTCACATCTGTAATTGGACTTCTTCTATGTGGCTTCACTTCAGCCGTCTGCTTCTGCAGGTGAGTGACAGACATTTAGAGCTGGGTGTGAAAATTTAAAAATGACATGTATGTCCTTTACATTTAAACAGTTAAACAAAATCATGTACATTTTCTTCATCTTTGCTGACAATTACTTCCTCTCCCCTCCCCCATTTGTCTTCGAAGTATGAGCTACTTTCATTGTTAGACATTTCTGTGTTTTCTACAGTTACTAAATATACTGTATCGCACATATTATAATTATGCGAATATCCTTTTTTTATTTAAAAAAAATTGAATTATGAGGAAAAGCACAACTGTAAATAATGCTAACGATGCCTTGCTTCATTTTATTAAGTGTCCCAGTGAGCCATGTCTGTGCATGAGCATGCACAATACCAGACATGCTCTCATTAATGTTTTTAATTCCACCTGGGCTCTTCCTGCTCTGACATGTCAAAATGTCCTGGAAAGAGTGTACTGCTCCCAATATTTTTGTCAATTTCTGGTTATAATGTGAAATTTTTCATCTTATAATGACATACTTTGTTATTATCACTACATTCCAGATTGTTCTGTTTTGATAAGAAACATTTACAACATACCACTTTATCTTTTTACATCACAAAACTTTCCTGTGAAAAGAAAAAAAAGAGATCCTTTCACACAAGGCAAAGAGGAAATGAGAGAAAGGAAAAAGGTGAGACGGAAAACAACTGAATGTGAGAGATGACGCACAGAAAGACAAGATCAGAGAGAGAAACAAAAACCGATGGACAGAGTTAAAGAGTGAGACAGATGACCCAATAACTGCCATTGTTACAGCTGGATGTTTGCTCTCTGTTCAAATCAATTCTACTACAATAACCTACCCAGTCAAATGATAGATTTTCAGTTATTGTCTCATTTCTGTTTTCATTAACCTGCAGTTGCAGTATGTATTATTATTTGGGGACCTCTCACTTACTGATGGTAAATAACTATATATTCCAACACTGTACTTAAACACAAATTCGAGGTACTTACTCTTACATTTTAGATAAATACTTACACAAAATACATGTATGGTCTTATAAAATGCAATGCGGCTCCTCATGACCTCTTACAAAAGAGCAGTGTCTACTTGGGCCGCCTGGCAACATTTAACAAGTTGAAAAGATGAAAATTGATTTGTGTATCAGACCTTTGTTTTTTCTTCTTTTCTACCCAAATAGTCATCTGACAACCCCTCAAATTTATTCTATGAACCTTAGGTCCACCTCAACCAACAGTAGAATGCTACACATATGTCGATGCATATAAACAATCTAATAATTAGAGCTGGAACTGTAAGTTGATTTATCAATTATTTGATCACAAGAAAATGAACTATTCTGATGTTTGATTAACCATTTTGAAACCAACTTCTCAAACATTTGTTAGTTCTAACTATTCAATTGTGACAGTTTTCTGCTTTTCCACATCTAATGTGACAGTGAACTGAACATCACCATGTTGGTCAGACAAAACAAGACATTTGACAATGTCAACTTGTGCTTGGTTAAAGTGTGAGGAGTTTTCTATTCAGTATTTTCTAATATAGACCAAAGGACTAATCGATAAATCAATAAAAGAATTGGCAGATTAGTTGACAGTAATCATTAGTTGCAGCCCTACAATCACACACAAATCAAACATTCATTTAGATAATAATAATTTTAAAGGCAAGACTTTTACTTGTAATGTAGTATTTTTGCACTGTGGATTTGGTACTTTTAATGAAATAAAGGATCTGATCTTTTACTTCACTAAAAGTCCCAATCTGAGTACTTCTTCCGCCCCTGCTCCCGTGCCAACCTACCTGCCAGTGATTCCCTGTAAAAGGTATCAACACAGCCTCTTACAAAAATGTATCTGAAAGAACTGGAAAATGTCGCGGGATCTCATTACGGATCTCAATTTTATTCCTGCAGAAAAAGCTGGACCAAGACCCCAAATCAGGACTTAGCCAACAGCAGGACCCTGAGTAATGTTCAGTATCATGCTCAGTTGGGAGGAGAGGTCAGAATAACTTTTACCTTTACTCAAACTATTATGTTTTAATGTCTCACAAAGCATTTTCCAGCAATCTCTCCTGTTCCTGTCATCTGTTTCTTTGTTCTTCTTTTCTTTCTTGGAGATATAGTAAGTTTGTTTCTATGTTTAGTCCCTACAGGTGGCTCCTCCTCCACTCCAAAGTTGTGCAGAATACAGGATGAATCACAAGAACAGGGAGATACGCTGCGTTCCAGACATTTCAGAAAATGATGAAAATGTTCAACCTCCAACTAGAAAAAGTACAATGGAGCGCTAGTCAGTGGATGTTCCTAGTTGTGAAAGCAGGGCATATCGAAGGTTACGATATGGTAACCCTAGTTCTATAAGCACAGGCTGAGCCCTCTACTGGACTCTATGGGTACTACCTCCTCCAATCACACGCACGCACTTGCCCACTGAAATTTTATCATGCACGTAGCCGACCAATAGGACGTCGCTACAGATACGTGCGTGACGTATAAATAGCAATGTCCCTACTACCTCAGCATCCGACCGCCTCTTCAGCAAGCGGTGTCAGAGCGGCAGGGCTCATCTGTAGAGGGCTCCGTCTGTGCTTATAGAACTAGGGTTACCATATCGTAACCTTCGTTCTATCTCACACAGGCTCCACCCTCTATGGGTACAGTGGGTGGAGCCCGAAGACTGTCCGCCCTAGCCGCGACAAGCCAAAGTCCACCACACCAACCCGGTTGGCCACAGGCCGGCCAAAGCCCCGACCACCACATCACCTAGTGACAGAATGGTGGGACATCCCTGAGAGGGTCGCTGGACCAATAGGGGCTTGACCAGACCATTAACACCTGGACTGCCCTGATTTCTCACTGAAACGTCAGGCACTGCCAGTGTATGTTCCCCCTCTACACCCAGTAGTCACCAGATCCTCACTTTTCAGATCCTAGGTCGCACTTGCGAGCTGGATCCCGAGAAGGGGCCCAACATATCCAAGAGATAGAAACAAACGGGCACAGTAAGGGCCAAGATGCCATTGTGCAGATTTCTTCGACGCACCACTCTGAAAAAGCATCGTAGACACTTCCACACTTCCGAGTGGAATGTGCATGCACCGCTAAGGGTGGGTCTGTTCCCGCCTGTGTACAGGCTTGGGAGATTCACTCACAAAGCCAGCTGGCCAGGCTCTTCTTGGACAGGGATTTACTGACTGCACTATCACTGAAACAGTCGAATAGCTCACCAGTGCATCGAATGGGGGCTGTGCTCTACATAGGACGTTAGCCTAGTACACATGGACACAACAGATGCACTCTCACCTCCCTACTTGTCCAGGCAGGACATGGGTCGCCTCGCCCGGTGCAAAAATAATTTTCTAGAAGTGGCAACTCCATCCGTGGAGGTGGTGAATTCAGTGAGCAGTTTGCCGTTTGCTGAAGAAAAAAGGATACTGAGGCAGTAGGGACACTGCTATTTATACATCACGCACGTATCGGTAGCGACATCCTATTGGTCGGCTACGTGCATGATAAAATTTCGGTGGGCAAGTGTGTGTGATTGGAGGAGGTAGTACCCATAGAGTCCAGTAGAGGGCGGAGCCTGTGTGAGATAGAACTGCAACTGTTTGTACCAATTCTAGTACAATAACCTACTCAGTTAAATAACACTTTCAGTTATTGGCTATTTTCCACCATTCATGCACTGATGGTAAGTTCCTCAACTACTTTAAGTATCAATTCGACATACCTGTACTTTAGTGGAGTTTTTCCAATTAAATGCTACTTTATTCTTCTACTCTACACCAATTTCAGAGAGAAATAGTACTTTTTACTCCACTACATTTATTTGACAGCTATGCAAACATTTCAGGTTAATATTTTACATAAAAAACATGGATGAGCTTATAAAATACAATGCAGCTCCTCGGGGCCCCCTCACAAAAGAGCAGTGTCTACTTGGGGCAGCCGGCCACATTTGACAAATTGAAAAAAAGAAAACAGATCAGGCCTTTGTTTTTCTTTCCTATCACAATAATCATCTAACAACCCCTCAGATTTATCCTGTGACCCTCATAACGGCCCTGACCTACAGTCTATGGTCCTGACCCCTAGGGTGGGAACCACTTGACTAAACTACCTAATTGAAAATATTAGCTCCACCTCAATCAGCAACAACAGTAGAATGCTACATGTACATGCATATAAATAATTTAATAATTCGAGCTGGAACGGTGAGTCGATGAATCAATTAGTCGATCACTAGAAAATTAAATGGCAAGTATTTTAATAATCGATTAATCATTTGAGTTTTTTTTCATGCTTACATGTCAAACAATCATTTTAAGCTGTGCTTTTCCCGCACCTTATGTGACAGTGAACTGAACATCCTTACATTATTTGAACGGTTGGTAAGACAAAACAAGACATTTGAAGACGTCACCTTGGGCTTTGGGAAATTGTGATGAGTACATTTAGCCCATTGGTAAAATGCAGTGTTAGTTAGTGTTAGCACTTTGAGTGAGGTAAATGATCTGTTCCTTTATTTTACTAAAAGTACCAATCTGAGTATTTCTTCCACCCCTGCTCCCATCCCACCCTACCAAAACCTGTTCCTGATTCTTAGTAAACAGTATCAACTCTCTTATAATAATGGGTCTGAATCAAATGGTCTCTTTATTGATTGCAATTTTATCTCTGCAGAAGAAACAGGACCCCAAAAAAGGACTTAGCCATGTTAAGCTGTTTTATGTTAAGCACTTTGCAATGCCTTGTTATTGAAAGGTGCTATACACATTTACTTGCCTTACCTTTATAATTTTCTACAGGGGTGAACGATAAAGAAAGGTTCTTGTTATTTAATTAAATGTCTGACGTATGTGTAAAAATTGGAGTGTAAAGTCCATATGTGCTACTGTTGTTACTGCAGCCTTATGCGGCACTGATGCCCAAGACAAATTTCTCTTAGGGACAATAAAGTTGATCTTATATACTCGCCAAAGCAAGTTCTTGACAACATTTGTTGTAATGGCAATAAAGTTAACTCAGCTCAACTCAGCAGGCTTCAGTGAGGTGTTTGTGCCCCCTTTGGATTTGGGTTAGGGCATTACAGGGGGTCTTTCCACTCGAAATTATTTACATTTGAGAGTCTACAGTCAAGTACAGTTTTATTTTCACTTAGCTATTTTGTTAATATAATGTTTGGTTCTTGTAGAAGTGTCAAAGTATCTTGTGTTGACTCCTCTGGGTAAATGTGTGAATGCACATGTAATTCACTGAGCAAACAGACCTGGTTATTGTGCTTCTCATAAGCATCTAAAAGTATTTAGCATGCCCTGACAGCACTCTCATCAATATGGTCACACTATGTTGGTCAAGTATGCCCACCACTAAGATGCATTCACACATGCTCACCACTAAGTGAAAGTGGGTCTCTGCAATTCAACATTGCACGTTTACATGCATTTCATATTTCATTTTTATCATGTGATTACAAATGAAATCATGTTAACAGTTTATTTTCAAGGACAAAGTTCGAACTTTCAAGATTCTAAAATGAATTAAATTATCATAAATTTGACTCTCATGTGACTTTATTGTATGTTCCTTAGTTGTGAGCAGCCCAACAGCAGCTAACCACTTCCTTTTCTCTGTGCCTACATCACAAGTACAGTTAAAAGCTGATGGTGAAGTTCCAGTCTGTCTTCCTCTGCCTGATGGTCATCATGCTCAGCGTAAACCAAGCAGCTCTCCATTCAATTATTAATTACATACAAGGTCTGTGGTTGTGTAAAAGAATTACAAAGGAGTGCAGGGGGTTCAGTTGAAAAAAAGTCTAGTAAAATGACTGTAAATCACTGTGAAAACATACTGAAAAATGTTTAATGGGAGGAGTTGTTCTGACTTTACTTGGACAGTTGATTTTTACAGATAAAGTTGTGAGATCACCAGGGGGTTTCTAATCAGAAATGTGTGCCACCAAGTGAAGGTAAACAGGACCAAGTTTTAAATCCACGACTAAAATAAAAGAAGGGACGACATGTGCATTCATTTCAGAGGGTAACTGTTTATTACAGAGTGCATAACATTCACTCGTGAATGCTGGAATTTTAAATGGGACCATAAAGATGGTTAATCAAGCATAGTCTTTCATACCCACACAGAGAAGAGGTCTAATCAGCCAAAATGTTTAAAATGCCTGTGTAGCTTTACCGTGGATCAATGTGCCAGTCTACTCTTGAAGAAAGAGCTAAGAGAGTTTAGGTCAGTGCACATTCTTTATTTTTAAATAATATATAATGTAAAGGGAACCCCTGTATTTGGAAACAATGTCAGAGCTTTAGGACAATGAACATGGGCCTTTTTCACAGCTGACATTTCAAGTTAGTTATTGTAGGAAAAACAAAGTTGTTACTAGTAACAATGGCTCTACTCAGTTCAAGTATCCCTTTAAGTCAAGACAGTGTGACAATGAGGAAACTTCCAGGACCCTGGAGCTGAAGCTAAATGGAAAATACACCATCATCAACACCTGTGCTTTTCCTACTGTGACATGTAAAAATGTCTTCTCTGAAAAAGATTACTGGGTCTGAAAATCATGCAGAACAAGTACAATATTTTTTGTTTTTAGTTCACATTACACATTGAGCATTGCACATGTATGTACATTTTACATTTCAGTTTATTACGTCAACTATTAATGTAATTATTTTTACATTTTATTTTCAAGACAAAGTAAACTTCAATTTTCGATGTTCCAATTTGAAATTAATAATTGAATGATCAACACGTGACTTAACTTTATTTTTCACGAAAGGTGTAACAGATTTATTTTGAGCAGTTAACAGCAACTAACCACTTCCTTTTCTCTGCTCCTCCTCCACAAATATATTTAAAAGCTGATGGTGAAGTTCCAGTCTATCTTTTTCTGTCTGATTGTCATCATGTTCGATCTAAACCAAGCAGCTCTGCTCTCTATTCAACTATTGGTTACTTGCCAAGGCTTTGCAGGTACAGTGAAGATTTGCGTTTGTGATGGATGTTTTTCTCTACATTTAATTTAATTTAAATTTTTACAGACTTTGTTTTATATTGGTTGATTGTTTCTTTCAATATTAGGGACTGATCAAGTTGACCACAGAGATGTACTGGTGTTCAGGGGAGAACCCGTCATGTTCACTTGCAACATATCCAATGAAAGTGCAACACAAATCACCTGGACCAAAGGCAGATCTGTTTTTTCTTATTCAATAATACGCAATATGACCTTTTCAAATCTCACCTCTCACAGTCTGAGAATAGACCAAAACTCACCTTTAAAGCTGAATATTTTTAATGCTCAGCATGAAGACGCAGGACTTTATACATGTAATGTAACTAGTAGATATGGTCCAAAGACAACTGAGTGGAATTTAACAGTGTCTGAGAAA